GGTGGTAGCTGGACACCATCTAGTTCTTCTGTGCTCAGGGTCCTGGAGACTGATGTTTGGGTGGCCATTAGTCCATTGGACTGATGATTGTCATGTGTTTTTCAATTGTCCTCATGCTTCTTTCCTCTGCTGGTTGGAGCGAGCGCCATAGTTACCCCGTAGATGACTGCTCATGAGCTTGGAGAACCCCGGGTGCTACTTCACAAAGTAGAATGCAGAGCATTGTTTTTATGAATTGTGTTATGCCAGTGGCTTTTATGGCTCCATTTCCACATCCATAAGATAAGATTAGGAACACCTGCTTCATCAACTCTCAGATTGACTTTTAAATTATTTTAAATTTTCATTATAGATTGTTAATTTTTTATTACCCAGTCTAAATTATCAATTAACCCCCCACTCCCACCATCACCCTACTCACCCCCTGCTCCGTAATTTCCCATCTCCTTCATATAGAGCCTCATGCTCTCCTTCACTCCAGTCAATGCCCGTCAACTGTCTAGCCTGTTGCTTTATCTGCACACCCTTGCCCTCCCCACTTGGGCAAACTCCAAAGTCTGTTCTCTTGTATAAAAGTCTTTATCTTGTTTTTACTTTCTTCTTCTTATAACACTTGTTCGTGAAATATTTATTCTATTTTGATTGGCTAATTTCACTCAACCTAAGTTTGGCCAGGTCCATCCATAGCTAGAGAGTTTTTTGTGGTTTCATCAGTGTTTTACGAGCAATTCATAGTATTCCATTGTTTGTATGTAACAAAGCTTCTCTGTCCATTCTTCCCCTGATGGGCATTTAGATAGTTTACATCTTCTTGCCACTGTCAGCAGAGCTGCATGAAAGGAGTTAATAGAAGTGATAGTTATTTGCAGAGTCATGTCCTCCTGTGTCTTTACTATGAATCTGTGTCTTTACTATGTATCTAATGGTATATATCTTCATGTTGGGATAAGACATTTCTATTGGCTGGGGAAGGTTTGGATTTGTACATATGCGTCTGAATTGAGCCACAATATTGAATGTATTAACAAGATTGGGGTGGGGCGTAGTTCTTTTAAGGATCCTTATTTAGCTTCCCCTTTGCTATGATTTAGGAGCCTGGGTGGTGTAGTGGGTTATGTGTTGGGCTGTTAACAGTAAGTTCAGCAGTTCAAAACCAGCAGCGTTCCACCAGGGGAGATGCTTTTTCCCCTTATAAAGATTCAGTCTCAGAAACCTATGCTTTCTCATAAGGTCACTATGAGTCAGAATCGACTTAATGACAATACATTTCCTTTTTAGCTTTGAAATTATTTGAAAGCTTATGATTTAGGAACATTTGATTTGCAAAGTTATTCAGTCATAGCCTCTATAGAGCTCCGAGACATTTTCATCAGCCCAAAAGGAAACCTCATGCCCATTAAGCAGTTACTCTCCATTCTT